GATTAAAAGTGATGCTAATTTCTGGTTGGTTTTAAGGCGATGCCTGGAGGAGTCAGTGAACAGACTGTTTCTATACTGTAACCCGGCAATCTCCATCAAATATTTATAATTGGTTTTCTTCTTTCTTTTTTTGCCTTCAACAATATGGACATTTTGGACCAAAACCAAATCAGAAAAAAGGCCAATTACTAACGTCGATAAACGTATATCGACAGTATATTTTGCGATGTAGAAACTCACAGCAATTCATCGGCTTTTAATTAAAACACAATTAGAAGTGGCCATTAATGGAGAAACAAAGAAAACTACACAAGATATGGTAATGACAGCCAATAAATACAGTTCTTAATAACCACACACACACACACCTCAACAATGACTCACTGTATATCCTGTTCATCGCATCTGAAAAATTGTGTAAATTCTTAAAATCGCGTATATATCATATTACTTAACATTTGGTATAAAATGACGTCATTAAAAAAATCTAAAAAAATAGATCTTAACCGAGTCCAAATATTTTTTATTTTTTACTATTATTATTTCTAACATTGTCTTGAAGTTCGTCTCCACGAGCCTAAGCTCATCAGTACGCCATCATAGAACTGTGTCAATAGATAGTTTATCACCAGTCCATGCGGCTGTCTACCACCATAACACTGCATTTTGTCATAAAACACCGCCTAATAATGTACATTTGCAGGAGTTTATGCCCAAAATATTTTAGTTCTCAATCAAACTATAAATTGTAAAATACATTTTAAAAAAAATAATTTCAAATATGAATTTCTATTTAAATATAATCTGTATCGTTTTGTATTAAAACAACTTTAAGTTAATTAAGTACATTTACTAAACTTTTAGAAAGGTTGAGTTTCCTGTCACAACACTGGGGCGTTAGAATAATTGTCTGTGGTCCAGTTTAACTTTCTCTTAATCGTTCCCTCCCTCCCTCTCTCTCTCTCCCTCTCTCTCTCTCTCTCTCAGGCTCACCGCAGGTCTGGGTGGCAGCATATCTCAAGTCGATTCACTGTGACAATATTGTTTGGCTATCATTCGCTGCTTTAGGATGAATGGCATCGATCCTCTTTTAACAACATTTGTTTCCTATTGTGTGTCGGGCCGCAGCAGCGGAGGGCAGACGTGTGAAAGTGGCTGTTTGATTCTCTTTTTCATCCCGCATGACCTCAGCCTTTGTGTCTCGTCACCCTGGGAATGTCACGCCTCACTACTCTACTTTAAGATGTTTCAGAAAGTGCCCTTTGTTTTCGCCCCCCTCCTTCTCTCTCCCTCTCTCTCTCCCTCCCTCTCTCTCTCTCCTCCTTTTTAACGCTCACACAAAATTGTCCCCCCCCCCCTCACCCCTCCCCGCTATAAAGGATACTTCAGACTGAGGCACGGTTCACAAGTGCAATGCAATTTGGCTTATCCCAACCTTTGTTCGGGGTTCCTACAAATGACCAAACATAGAGCAGACTTGATCTACTGCTGCTTGAACTCAGAGCAGAGTTTGGGAGCAGCTAAGAAAAAGAAGAAGAAGAAAAAAATCCATTCAGACCCAGAGTCAAGGTGGCCATTTTCAGTGTGCAAACTGGACGGAGGACAAAAGGCCTACCAATATCTTATAACCCTGAAGCTCAAAAAGCCACACTGTCTGTGGTGTGAAAGAAAGGAGAGGGAGAGACAGAAAACACACGGACTGTCACGACTGGTTAACGCCACAACTGAGTCTGGAGAACTGGGAAAACAGTCATAATAATAATAATAATAATAATAATAATAATAATAATGTGTATTTTTTTAATCTGGGTCTTGCTATATTCATTTAATTTAAATGAATAAAATAATAAATTAAATATTTTACGTTTCTATTGTGTTTATAAATAAATATCGCAGCCATAATGATTAGGACTGGTGTCAGTAGGTGTTTTGGACTTTGTGTCGTCATTATCCACCGGGTTTCACTTGACTCGACTGCGCCACTTCCTTTTGGACAAAAACTTTTTGGAGCCAAACATTAATGTGGAATGACAGGTGTTAAAAGCCAC